TGTGTGTGTGTGTGTGTGTGTGTGTGTGTGTGTGTGTGTGTGTGTGTCTGTGTGTGTCTGTGTGTGTTGGGATATTCTACCTATACCGTTTACTGAAATTTTCACATAACCTGTAATACAGAATGATCTTAATTTGGTTACAGTGGATTCTCCATAAACCCAGTTAGATATGAGGAAGGCCCAAAATAATAAAACTGAGTTGTAGGCCAACAAAAGGCAAAGTTATCATTTTCAAGCGTATACCATACTAGGATAGCTTTTCAAGTGGTTAATTATTTTAGATAAACTGCTTTAATCAAGAGATAGAAATCGTGTGTAATGGGCCAGCAATTGTTTACCAACAAATTTGACATATTTGGTGGTGGTGGAGAACAGTTTGTTCTTAAGTTACTCAAACTGTCTCTCAGATATTGCTCACACTATTAATTTGTCTGGCAGATACTTTTTAGGATTAATGTAGATCTAAACTTTATTCCATCTCTCTTCTGCATAATCATAACTTTCAAAGCAACTGAGGCCACACGCGTTAGGGTTTAACTGTATTGATGTAATTGATAACACTCCTCCACTCTTACGAAAATTTTACTTGGCTCCTGAGATTCAAAACTATGCCTTCAAAAGAGACAATAAAACCAATACAAGTCACATTTCTTCTGAAATGACTGTTGCTGAGTCACAGTGTTGGCCCAGAACCGGACTCGATGCTTTGCTGAGTGTCATTTGTGTCCAGTTGCACGTCACCAAACTCTGCTAGTTTCTCAAACTCCTGGATTTCCTGAAATTAAGGTATTACTGCACTAAAATGTTGGGAGACAGGAAAGGAAACAGCCTAGGAATCTTAGGAACTTTTCAACCTTTTTTAAGAGGTAGCCATTTTTAAGGATTTGTCAGGACAAAGTCTTCTCAGTAACCCTAGCTTGCCAGAGTCCACCCAGTGGGGACAGCACACTGTCTTCCTGCTGTGGCCTTCTCAGGGGTCAGAAGCAGGCACCATATTTATGGGGACAGACGGTGCCCTGGCCCTGCAGCCTGTCTGGTGCATCAGTGTCCTGCCCACATCCTGTGTCTCTGAATCACTCTCTGTCCTGCCATGAGGTCTTCTTCCCTCCTCCCTCCTCCCTTGCTGTTTCTCACTCTGACATTCGGATCTGGACTCTGTATCACAGTGCTTCTGGTCGGGGTCCACACACTGATCTTGCAGGGCCCTCAATTCTATCACAGATTAGGAGGACACCCCCGATGGTGACAGCAGGGCCCTAACCACCAACCCACCAGGCTGTACACAAAGCCATAAACAGTCTTTAGAAATAGGCTTACAGGAACAAGGGAAGGGGTCTGAAGACCACCCACTTCCTGGAGGAGGTGTGGCTGCACCCAGATCTCACGTTATCTTGCCACCAGGAAGCCCCACACATGGCATCCGTGAGGGGCTTTGAGGACTCTCAGCATCCTGCCTGCTTAAGTCCCACTGCTGCTCCACACTCAGGATCTCTCTCTGTGCCCTCAGCTAGCACATCCTGACGGGAAGGAAACTCCTTGTATCCAGCTGAGTCAGTTGGGGAAAGAGCCTCAGAGCTCGCACAGGCGCATTTGGTTGTCAGAGCATTAATAAATGGAAAAGTTGCCCAATACCTTCCTACGATTAACCTAAAATTGTGAGTTTATACTTATTATCCCTTCTCTGTGTTTAGGGGAACACAGTATTTGTTTCTTCAACTTGTTCTTATTTGTTCTTGCTTGATTGTGAATAAATGATTCTCATAATCTCCCTCCAAGCCTTCTCCAATTTCTCCGCATTCTCTTAAAAGTGGAAAAGAACCATGAACTGAACTCACTGTTCTCGTGATAAGCTCATGTGCCACACAGCTGCTGCTCTGGCCTGTGGTGCTTGCCTTCTGCCACACACTTCCGCTCTGCCAGCTGGTCTCTTGTGAAGAAACGGAAGTCCCCACCCCTCACTGCTTCCCTGTGCCCTCCAGTGCCTGCCAAGGCCCTCGCCTGTCCCCTAGAAGTGCGACATGATGGGACCTGCTGTCAATGAGAAGATATGGACAGGTAGATGCCTGCTTACGAAACCAGCTAGCCAGTGCCCCTGAGAGGCAAGAACACAATCTAGCAAGGTAGCCATGCAGCAGAAGGTGTGGTTAATGGCTTTGCCTAGGATTTCCACTGTCCTAGCTCTTAACTTCCCTTGGGCAACAGGACAGCCCCACAAGGAAACTTGAGGAATGAAAGAGGAAAATGCAGGGCCCGGTTTTTAAAGTGTGACCTATGAGGCCTGCTCTTGATCTCTCCTCCGTATGCTAAAGTGCTTGTGATCATCTACTCTCTACTGGCACGGGCAAGACCACGTGCTCGCTTTCCTACACAGGATGTGAAGAAATATTTGACAGGCAGCAAACTCCCAAACAAAACCTGTGGAGTGGGGCAGGCCTACAATCCCAGCTCTGAGTGAGGCTGAGACAGGAGGATCCCAAGTCCGAGTCCAGCCTGGGCAACTTAGTGACTTAGAAACAGCCTGTCTCAAAATAAAATAAATAAATAAATAAATAAATAAAATAAAAAGGGCTGGGGATGTATGTCACTGTGAAGACCGTGGTTTAGTCTCCAGTGCCGCTAAGAAAGAAAAAGTGAGTTCTGCATGGAATGTTATTAGTTCAATGTAGAAGATAAAGCACCTCACCACTAGGACTCAGAAAAGAAACTTAAGATGAAAGCTGCACCTTCTACAAAGAAGATACATCAACCCTAAGTAACTTCACATGTTTACCTACACAAATGCTGTGTTATCTTAGAAATACAATTTCTCCTTTCTACCAAGAACACTCTGTATTCTGCAATTAATTTAAGACTTCCCTGGGGTTTTCTCCTAATAAGGATGCCTATCTCCAGAGAGTGAAAATGAGTAAGAGGCCATGCACAACATGCTCCAAATCATCTCAGAAGTGGAATGGCAGCTGACCTTTGCAGGACTCTCAGATCTACCTCTCAGCTGGCCTCACCTCCGTGAGTCTTTCTGCCCTCCCCGCTTCTCCACGTCCTCCAAGAGGCAGAAAGAAGCCTGATTCCGGACACAGGCAGCTTTCAACCACTGCCACACAGGAAAGCAGTGTGATAAAAATAATGCCAACTGTAGATTCCTGGACCCCGCCTCAGGACGAAGACCAAGGGTGACCACAGAGCTGGCGAATAAGGAAAAGCCCTGCCAGGAGGCTTTGGACGGGGAAGGCCAGTGAATGCCATCGATTTCGCTCAGTGCTAATAGAAAACCCTTGCTTTTGTTTCCAACTACCTCAGGACATTTGTATCTCCTCTGTATGAGGAATTAGGTATTTTCATCCTGAGTATTGTTGAGCAGATATGGCAATGAATAAAGAATTTAATCTATTGTGCATATTCAAGTCTTCTCTGTCTTTGTTTCTAAACAAAAAAGCACCTTCACTTTTCAAAGCTGAAAACCCTTTTTATCAAAGACAGTCCAAGTCAACCACTGCTGAAGTTTCTCTAGGGAGATTTATCCAGACTGTGTAAGACCAGGATCAAACAGGTAACCTTCGTGAGGGACACTGGAATGATTTCCATAGTCTCTGAGACTTTAACTGCACACACATACAATCTGCAGATTCTTAGAGGGAAAAAAAAGAGGATCAAAGAGCAAGCGGCTCTGAAGCATTTTACCGACAGCACTGGGTTCACCTATGACACCAGGTCTGCCTCTGGCACTGGCCGGGTGGCTGTGCCGGCTCTGAGCTCGTGGTGGGCTCCCAGGGGTCTGCAGCCAGCACTGAGCTCTCCTGCCCTGGAGGGTGCTGCTTCCCTGAAAGGCTCAGGCTAAACTGTTGTCCTAGCAGATGGCAAACACACATTTCCATGAAGCGCCCTTCAGCCAAGGCAGCTTTAACCATAAAGGTGGAGTTGGTGTTTCTGGATAATTTCAAATAATCCTTCTCAACTGAATTCACCGACTCCAAGGCTGAGCTGATGCTTCATCACAATTAATCCTCAGTTTCTCCAACTGTGAACTCTGTGCTACAGGATGCCAGAGGATGGCCTTGGTATTGCTGCTTTCTTTTAGGTTAAAAAAACACAAGATGCATTGGTGCTGCATCTCAGAAGCACGAGGGAGTTCTGCTGTGGGGACACTGAGGCTAGAGTGACACAGCTTGTTTCTGCTCTCAAATGTTTCGCCTTGCCCTTGTCCTTGGGGTTTTTCCTACTTCTCCAGCCAATGTGACAGCAACGCAGGAGTGGCCTGGTGCCTTACCTGTGAGCAGTGTCTGCCTGGAGCACACTTTTCTGTGGAGGAGCAGGAGGCCTAAGGCCCCCAGCAGGCCTGCACCTCACCTTCACACTCGGCCACCTGCTGAGGTACTCACCCTGCAGCTGCCGGCCCCTGTACAGATCCCGCGCTTTGGTGGGGTGTGCCCTGGCTGAGTTGTCACACTTCGGCTGCTCGTACCTGGGGGTGACAGGGACAAAAGAGAAAACAACAGGGACAGGTTTTCTTTCACTTCTTGTGCATCTTCAAACCCTGCGAGGTGGACCAGCCTGTGGTACAGACTCAGGGGCTGGTCCCTGAGTCATAGCCCCCATGTCTTGGCCCTTCTGTTGCTCTCTGTGGCAGAGAACTGAAGAAACATTCTCCAGGCCACAGGAAAAAGGACACTGTGACTCCTCTCCTGGCCTGTCTGTTTCTCAGTCTGTTCTTTAGGTCTTGGCCAGCGGTTCCCAGATGCCAACACCCACTCCTCCTTCTGCTATCAGACGTAGGAAAAGTGAGCCTTCTGCCCCTGCTCCATGCACTGCTCTAGGTAGGCAGGGAGCAGTAAGGGCCATGTGGGTGGACAAGGGAGGGTCTGACCATGCCCTCCAGGAAGGAGGAAAATTCTCAGAAAGTCTCCGAACTTTACATTGGTGCATTACTTAAGGACTAATGCATTTCCCACCTGATTTATGAAACTGCAAAATTTTGTCCCAGTGTTTAAAAAAAAAGAAAAGCTGTCTGGTTCCACCCAGTGTGCATGGAAATTGTGTAAGTCCTGAAAGGCTGGGGCTCCACTGCCTGAAGGGGCAACTCCAAACCCAGAGGACAGCTTGTCCACAGCCAGGATGCTGCGGTCAACAGCTCCTGTATCTCAGACGCACCAGGGAGTTCTGCTGTGGTGACACTAAGTCTAGAGTGATGCTGCTTGTTTCTGCTGCTCTGCTGGGCACTGGAGACAGGGGGACACAGGGTCTCTGCCCACGGGCTGAGGACACAGACAGAACCGTGCCAGGGGCCATGGTTTAGGTCGGCCCTGTCCCACCTGAATTTCTGTACTGACACTCTCACTGCAAAGCCAGCTTCCAGGGATGCCTTTCAGAAGGTAACAACCAGGGAGCTCACTCCTGGGAGATGGGAGATCCCCTAATGAGATCTTCCTAACTAGGGAGCCAGCCACTCTTGATGGTCATTTGGGTGTGGCTCCAAATTTGGGGCTGAAACAACTTAAGATTTCTAGCAATGATGCAGATAGACAGACAGACAGAACAGATAGACATATATGTATATAGTTGACACGACATTCTGCTCCTTTTAAAGAATGGTAGAAAATGCTAAATTGCAGTAAGAAACAGTAATCTCAAGAATTATTGCCTAACAACGTGAAATTCAGCTTTGACACCTATCACTAGTGTTTAAATAGTGTGTTTTTCTAACATGTTTGTGTAAGGGAAAGGCATTCCTCTTGAATATCTGGATGCCCACCAAACTCCAGGCTGACAGCTAGGGAGAAGGGCAACTTCAAGCCATGTGTCATGCACAGGGCCAGGGGGCAAGGGCTCTGGAGGTGGGCACAGAAGCTGCCCTTTGCCAGGCAGGCACAGCCCGCAGGCCGATGGCAGGGGGCAAAGCCTCTGTCTGCTGTCATAGAGAGGAAAGTTTGCACTCACGCAGCAGCTGCAATAGGCCTGCTCCGCACTGAACCCAGCAGCCCCTTCCAAGCTGACACCTGCCCCACCCTTCCAGCCTGAATTCCACCTCCACCGGGCCCAGCACTGTGGACTTGCACGTGTGACTCCCCTCCACCCACAGGGCAAGCTGCGACCCAGATGTGGATGTTGGCACGGAAGGGAGGGGAACAGCTGGAAGGCGATTCTGCAGGGGGAGTGGGGCAAGCAGCTCTGCACCTGGGGTGGGCAGGATGCCAGTACCTACGGCCTGGACTCCAGCCTACCAAAGCAGGGCCTCTCAATGCCTTTCTATGGTTGTAAGGAAAGAAAGCTAGGTCCTATGTAAAAAAGGTATTTATGCCTTTTTACTCTTGTTGAATTTTTAAATTTGCCTCTCCATCAAGAAATGGGGAGAATAAGGAAAATAAATAGTTGTGTCTCTACCCAAGTATAGATCCAAGCACAGTGTATCTCCCTGGACTCTTCCTTCCAGGAAATCAGTGCAGAAATGGCATTTAGGTGACAGATGGTGTTGGAACATTGGTGCAGGAGGTTTTCTGTGATAAGGATGCGAGTCACCCCAGAGCAGCAGAAGAGAACAGAAGTTGACTATAGCTGACCATGTGCTCTGCTGATTTTGATTGACTGTCCAACATCCATGCCGTCCTGGACATGTAAAACAATGTCTTATCTTGGGTGTATGACCCAACAGAAGGCAGTGATTTATAAATTAAATCTGCCCGGGGACTTCTACAAAAGGAGAGAGAGGGGCGGGGGGATGTGTCCTGTGTGCCCTGAGCACTGTGGCATGTGGACAAGATGGTGGAAAAGCTACAGCCACCCTGTGGCTCAGAAGAGAACCTTCCTGGGACAAAGGCAACACAAGGCACGGCCAGACTGCTGTGCCTCTGAGCTTGTAAGGACATAATGCAGTCCCTCCTGTGCACGTATCTGGCAGTCTTCCTGTTCTCTACGTGACACCTGCAGCTGCTCCATAGCTACTGGTCAAAACCGCTAGAACTTGCTGTGCTGTGGAGAAGCAGCCACCCCATAGGTCCTCCACCCACTGCTCCCAGCTCTGCAGATCTCCACTCTGGTTAGCCTTCAAGGGCCACCGTGGATATTACATTCAAGCTGTACCCACAGACCCTCCCCTCGTCCCATTCCCTTCCCTCCAAATCATTAGTCACCACCTGATATACTTCCTCACTAGGGCTTATCTATGGATAGGTTTTGCTACCACCCATCTCCTGTCACGGTGAGAAGTTCTACACAGTGTCCCCAGGTCTAGGCCTGTGCCTGGCAGACTGCAGGCATGCACATGTTTGCTGGAAGAGAAATGAAGAAATGAACAAGCCTGGAGTGTGTCAGCATCATAAGAGCTGACATCGCCTCTCCTGGGACATCCCACACTTGCCCTGGTGCCAGAGTCCAGCACTCACCCAGGCCTACTCTGAAGGCTCTGCCCTGCACCCTGCTCTCCTGCTTTCCAGCCATCCCACATATCCCGCTATCTACAGCCCTTCCCTGAGGCCCAGTCAGCCAGGACTTTGGACTCCTGACCCTCTGCCCAGAATATGAGTCTGGCTGAGACCAGCTCAAGTGCCAGCCACCCCCACTGCCAGGCTGTTTGCTACCCCACCTTCGCACTCATCATTTCCTGGTTGCAGGGCGAGCAGACACCACGGAGGCCTGTCTCTCCTTTTACACAAAACCTAGGCTCTTTAAGACTGTTCCAGTCTTAATTTGGGTCCTCCATGAAGCACATTCTCCCTATTCCTGGTGGCCTGGAGACTACCTGGGTCTCGGGCACACCAATATTTTCACCATGTAGAGAGATGGGAGGTTCACCAGGTCTGTGGGGAAGATTTCCCTTCCTGGCAAAAAGAAGAAGACTTTCTTCTTCCAGAATGTATTCCCATGGCTACAAAGCACGTTTCTAGAAAGTATGGCAGGAATAAACCCTGAGCCAGTCAGGAAGCTGCCAGTGGCTGGGCAGGAAGGGCATCAGAGGCTCATTCTGATGGTGTGTTTGGATGGGTGTAATCCCCAGAAATCCCCCTCCATTCAGACTGTGAGAGTTGATAAATCCTGAGCCCAGGTGGTCCCCATGTAGGGAAGTCCCCATGCAGTGAGAGGACACTGTGTGTGGTCAGGTAGGTCCCTTGGTCCTGACCATCACTGACCATCAGCATTTGTGCTGAATGGATGGATGAATGGATGGATGGATGGATGGATGGATGGATGGACAGACAAGCGGATGGATGGATGAATGGACACATGTACGGATGATAAATGACAGATACAACTGCAGCCAGCACTTGAGGGGTCTCTCCACTTCATTCAACCTAATGTCCTTTCTTGTTTATACCTGGCCTTGGGATAAACAGACTCAAAAGATTCAGTGAATGTTTTAGGCAAAGCATCTTAGATCACTCATTTTTAGAAATATAAAATCAATTTCCATCCCCTAAAGTATATAAATATTCCCAGCTCCAGGCTGAGCACCCACACTCTATTTCCTTTGAGTGAGTGCTTTAAATTCTGCCTAATAAAACCTCTTTGTGTCAAGAGGGAGATGGAGAGGGAGAAGGAAGTACATAGAGTGGCTTGCTCTCTCCTACAGGCAAACCGGGGGAGAAGAGAGCCGGAGTCTCTCCCTTTTGGCAGGAAATAGCAGTCTGTTCAAAGTGGCATCAGGTAGAGGGGGAAGAGAGGGCTCACTCTGTTTCAGGTCCATCACATTATGAAGTGTTTCCAGGTTCTTTGGGGATAGCACTATAAACGCTGGTCTCAGCACTTTGGATGCGGGGTGAGGAGTCTGGTGTTGACAGCATCAGGACTGTCCTCGGCCCGCCCTGAGAACACATTTGCCAGGGACACTTCAGCTCTGCTGCAGATGCAGGCAGCCAGGGAACGACAGGCACGGGGCCTGTGTCACAAGCAGATGACAGCCCCTCACATGCAGTAGTGAGCATGGCCTGAGGAGGCAGAGGGGCTTCCCAGCGATGCCGTGTGGAAGGCAGTGCTCCCTCTGTACCTGTGCACGGGGATGGGAGAAGCTCGGCCAAGCCTGGAAAGGTGGACATTCTTGCTCCCAAAGCCTCCCTGCCACTTTCTGAAGAGTGCGGTGCATCTTCCCTGGCAGGGCACCCAGGAAAGGGTGCGGGGAGCTGTGAGACCAGGCAAGGTGCGCATTCCGGTCACCCCAGCTCCAGGCACCTGGGGGAGCCCAGACCTGCTTTCCTCTCTCCACACCTGGTGGTTCCATCAGAAAATCTGAAGAAATAACTTAGGAAGTATCAAAATATTCATGTCCAGGCAATAGAGAGAAAATGGTAAATCAAATTTGATAAGGTTTGGAGAGATAATATTTTCCTAAATCTGTAAACTATTTTTAAATAAATGTAAGAAAAACCAAAAGGCAGATTCATGTAACACAGCTGCTGAAACACAGCTGCACTGGGGATCTTGCTGCTCCATGAGTGAGGTGCCCTGGGGAAGTTACTTGATTTGCTCAAACTCGCACAAAATGTGAGTCAGTTGATTTTGTATTTCAAATCCTTCAATAAGTTTACTGCTCTTCCCTTGGCACATTCATGCTATCTTTAATGTAGTATCTTACAGCATTTGTGCTCTGTCGAAAGCCAGCTTGGCATCTTCTTCAATGTTGTGTGGAGATCCAGGAGGCCGGGCTGGGCCTCTGATGCAGACCCCACACTCGCCACATCCTGGAGACCTATCAGACTGACCTGGCCTGCAAGTGTGGATGTGAGCTCTTCTGCTATAGCCCACAGGAGACTCCCGTATCACCTCCAGAGCCACACTTTCCCTGTCCTTGGATTCCGCAGCCACTTGCTCTAAAAGGCCATACAGGCACAGAGGATGGAGGACGTGGCTCACACCCTGGCCTTGTCCTGTGGGCTTGACACTCTCCAGGGTGACTCCAGCCCCCTGCTCCCATCCTCCCCAAGGCTGTGCATACCTGGTGGATGTGCCAGGGATGGGGCGCCCTGTGTCTACCAGCACACACCAGCAGTACCCTGTGGATGGGTGGCACTGCACCGGCTTGTAGAGGCCACCATGGGCACACTCAGGGATCACCACGTTGTCATTCTTGGGCTGCTTGGCCTCCTCCAGGGCAGACTGGTGCTCCTGGTCACAGGAGGATGCTGGAAAGGAAGAAAGAAAGGTGGTAAGTGGGCACTGGGGTGGGACTGGAACAGCGGTCAGGGCCAGGAGGGCCTGTGGTCACGCTTGGGGGCAGAGGGCTGAGTACTGCAGGGCTCAGAGTCCTTGAGAGAGAGAGAGAGAGAGAGAGAGAGAGCATGAGCACGCACCCATCTCAGGGCCTCTGCTGCCCTCCTGCCCACACTCCAGCACACCCTTCTCCAGCTGTCACACCACCCCTGCTGGAGCCTGCAAAACACCAGCTTTCCTAGGTCAGAGGCCCTGACCTCTCTCCGACTGCAGAACAGGCTCTCCACATCTCTGCCATCAGCCCAGAAGATGTGCGGGGGGGTGCGTGTGTAAAGCAGGCCACGGCAACGGAAGTCAGTAACTATAGCTGGTATTTTCTTATAGTTCTGCTTCCCAGCAGCCAGTGACAAGGGTTAGTTCCACAATTCACTCACACCAAATAAAACCATGTCAGTAAAGATGCTGGCGGTATGGATTATGTGCAAAAAAGCTGATATCTCCCTACACCAGCAACTCGGGTTCTCCTTGGTGTGTAGAGTTGCTCGATCTGGGTGTGCAAATGGATATGTGCATACAGGGCCATACGTGCCTGGGCTATGCCCTGACTCAGGCTCACGGTGGCCGCCGCAGGATCCCATAGACAGAAGTCACGAGGAGCCTCTCTATGCTGGCAGAATGACACACCCTGGCAAGACAGAACCCTCTCCAGAAAGGTGTGAACTAAGCCTGCTTTGGAGTCATGGCTGCAGTCGACAGGGTGTTCATTAGCATAAACATGGTGTCAGGCAGGTGGACAGGTGAGGAGCTGATGGAACTGCCCCTATCCACACCACCCAGGCAGAGTTGGCCTGCATGGTGCTAGGGTGCAGAACCTGGCTGCAGCCACTGAGGGTTAAGACAGTGAGGCACCAACCACAGCGGCATACTGGCTGTGCTCCACAGGTCCTCCCTGTGACTTGCTTACCTCCCCAGTTTCAAAAGAGCACCTGGCATAGAGTGCACAGGTGATTAATCTCTTGCAATGATCAATCATAGTTTAAAAACCACCTAGATTTTATCTTGCCCAGTAATTTCACCTACATTATGCAGATGATAGCTGGGATTTATTTGTCTGCCCGCTGGCTATATTACCAGCTGCAGCTATTCGATTTCTTCCTCTAATACCAAGGATTTTTTTTTAATTTTATTGAGTTTATTGGTACATTTTAGGGATACAGTACAGTTACACTCATTGTTGGGATCTTGTACCTCTACATGACAAGTCTTGATTCTCATTTTTTCCCCTTACCTCTGCCCTCCCTTCACCCCCTCCTCCCCTCCCCATCTACAAACACTTTATTTTCATCTTTTCATTCTCTCACATTTTTTTCTTTTCCCTTTTTGTTCTTCCCCTACACATCACACCTTCCCTACACCTTTAGCTCCTTTCTTCAAATTTCTAAATGTCAGTAATCTTATTAGAATCTTATGCATTGTTGCAGAATATTCACACCAGGGAAACTATTTGGTATTTACACATGTGTGACTTATTTATTTCACTTAGTGTACTAGGCATAGTAGGCATACTAGGCAAGTACTCCAACACTGGGGTACATCCCCAGGCCCTAGGTTTCTTTGCATATAATCGGTATATAGTCACACCATCACAGACACATTCCTGTTTTTTCCCATGAGTTACTTCTGGTCACAAGGTAAAGAATTCAGGGGGGACAGGGGCTGCAGCCTGTGGGGAGCCTGGTGTTGACTGGTGGAATTGTGCGCAGGTCCATGCAGGACCACATGGGGCAACAGGGAGGGCTGAGGCCGGACTCTCTCCCAGGAGACTGGTGTCCCATGGAGCACAAAGCTTGCACAGCACCTGCCAGGCCCTGGGTCTGATGTGCAGTCATGCACAGAATTTATGGTGTGCTCACCTGGCAAAATACTCTCCATGCTCTGTCCTGGAACATCCTGTATCTCTGGACATGGTTTTTAGACACAGTTCTGGAAAATTCTTTAAATGTCCCTTTTGAGGATTTTATGTTGTCTTATTTGAAGGCTGTTGGTAAGCAGGAGGATTGGTTAAATCAACAGCCTCTTATAACTGCAGAGCACATTATGAAGTATCAGAGGTATCACAACAGAATGAAAGGATCCTGCTCATGCGTGAGGAAGTATGATCGTGATGAAGATTGTTACCCACTGGGTTTTATTTCATTTTCTGACTGGGGAACTCGAGCTTATGAGTCAAATGCAGTCACAAAGGAAGATCCTTCCTTAAGCCTTGGGAACAGGCAGTAACAATACTCGAGCAGGGTCACCTTGGTCCCAGCCCCACCCAGGGACTCTTATGCAGGATCTACATGGGGCTCTCTCTGAGAAACAGCGCTGACAGGACTCACCCATGATGTCACCATGAGTGGGACTGTGGGGTGACTCCACACAGACCAAGCCAAATCTCACCACAGTGCTAAGGTTTCTGTCATCGGGAGGGACCCGAGTACACAGAGCGCAGTGACCTTCAGGAAAAATGTCAGTACGACCTTCCAAAGTGTTAAGGCACAGGGAGTCGGGAATGGAGAGTGAAACCAGGGACTGGGAGAAATGCAGTGAAGATCTGACCACAGGAACCAGGACAGGGTTCATGCAGAGGTTGTGGTGACACTCCCAAGGGAGCTGATGCAGGTGTGACAAGGGGAGCCCCAGCAGACAGCACAGAGCTGAGGCAGAAATGTCTGCCAATGCTGGCGTCCTCCCAGAGGACCTGGAGGGGGCTCTAAAATCACTCTGATATTTTAAGTTATATTTGATTCTGGCTGAAAGGTTAAACTTCCAAATGTATGATCTTCCTTGGAGAGAAAAACAAGGCTTGGAATCCTGGAAATAATTCTCCAAGTGAACAAAATAATGAATGCTTAAAATTTTTACATTGTGGTGTTTCATTTTAATACATTAGATGAATATATTTCCATGTGAAATTCAGAATGTCTATTCAGAATGCCTATTCAGAATGTCTTTATAAAGCTTTGATCTCCAATATTAAATTTTTGAGGAGTTAATGTATAAAGAAAAGAGAATTCAAAATTTTTAAAACTGAATGGAAGGAAATTTGGGGGGGAGGTCCTGAGGATCAAACCCAGGACTTTGTGTTTAGGAGGCAGACGTGCTGCCACTGAGCTAAATCCCAGGCCCTAATGGAAGGAATTTCAAAACGAAGGCACTTGAATGTTCCAAGGAAGGTCAGATGTCAAAGCACCATTGATGCACCTCGGTAAAGACTGCCTATCTGTGAAATGCACCACTACAGAAAAGAGAAGCTGAGATGTTATTTCGCATTGGTGTTAAAATCAAATACAGAATTTCTTTCTAGCAAAAAGGACTGTGTACACTTAGGGGTGAATAATCATTTAAATGAAAATACTGAAATAGAACCTGCTCAGTGATGTCGGTGTCACTGAGAGTGGGGACATGAATAAAAGACCTGTAGGTGGCTTTCGGAGCCTACATTTGCCTGAGAGAAAAGGCCAACTTCTACAGCAGCAGCCCAAGGATGAGGGCTGTTCATTCAGACCCTGAACCTAGAGGCTGCTAGATCAGAATCTCCTCTTAGACCCCATACCCTCACCCACATACCACACAGGAGGACTGAGCATGTTGAATGCAAAGAAGGTGCAGGCTGCAATATAATTAAGGTAGTGTTAGTTCCATTGAGCAAAATTTTACTTATCCATGAGACCTAGTGACACAAAATAAAGTCACATAGAGCAAAAAATCATAACCCAAAAGGAAACTACACATATTCAATGCCACAGATATAGATGTAGGTTTCTTTCAGAAGCCACACATCCAGCAAAGAAGCAAGGACAAATTAGATGATGATGATAATGATGGGTACCAGGAATCAAACGTAGGACCCTGCACTTATGAAGTAGGAAGCGGCACTACTGAGCTAAATCCCCGGCCCTGACACACTAAATGTTTTGCTAACTTGTGAGTAAATTCACAGCCATGCTGGAGGTAACTTGTCCCAGTCCCCTGGCCCTCCAACTTCAAATGGACAAGAATTTAAATGGATCATGGTAATTTATCTTGTGGTTTTGCAATTTTCCTGACTAGTAATACAGTTATCTACTTAACTTTTCAACCAATACATTCATATATAACACATATGTCACAAAAATGTCATGTGTCCTGTTGGCAAAAATCAATATTTTTAAAAAAAATTTCCAGCTTTCAGTTTAGGTCATTCCATTCATTGTCACCCAAACTACTGGCTTTACACATAACATCTAAATGTTCCTGATCTTGGCATAGCTTCCTGGATATGCCTAACGGCATCCAGAGCCACAAGGAAAAGCTCAGTCTTTTAGCACAAGCAGGACAACACTGCTTGTTCTGTCCAGAACTTATGCTTCTCAGTTCTGAGCATCTTTGCTCTGGCTTTCTACCCTGAGAGCTGTGGATGTCCACCTTGCCATTGGGAGCAAACCTGAACTGCAATCAGCACGCTGGTGACAGATTTCCCATGCATGTTCTCTGTAAATATCAGGCTAGTAACACAATTCCAACTCTCTCTTACCATAAAGATTTCAAGTTGTGAAACCGTACACAAGTTTTATTTTGACAAAGCTACCTTGGTCAAGTTGGTCGAATGCCAACTTTAAAAAAATGTTCATTTTCTTTTTTTCAACCTATCAAGTGTCAGTGACTTTGTGAATGTCTGACAGTTTGTCCCAACTGCCTGACAACCAAAAGGAATGTAGGTGACATACAAAGACCAGGCATTTAGGAACTTAAAAGATAAAAATCCTTAAACTACCATCTTGTTAAGTGTGAGCTCCTGGATTCTGCCCAGCTGATGCCTGAGGCAGTTTCACAGGCAGCAGCACCAGTCACACCTGTTATATTATTTTGAATTTTTATTGGAATACATTTGTGCCGCATAATAAATACATCCACCTGAAGAATTGGTATATATACCTAATGCATCTTG